TAAGCTATGTACAATTTCCCACACCGATCTCACTTCATCACTTGCCATTACTGCAAAAATCTTATAAAGCAGAGGGGTTGGCAACTCACATAATTTGATATAGAGAGAAATCTTAAGCCCGCATACAGCATAAATCATCATAAAGACACAGATCTTACCACATGGCAATTTAGTTTCTCATAAAAAGAAGAACTGAGTCCATCCAAAAGATGCTGTCAGGAAAAGCCATTGTGTGTTATGTCATGTATTTCTGAATATTTTTGTGCTGAGTTTATGACTTCAAGGATGGGTATAGCTTTCTTGGCAATAATATGGAAGTGATTTATCTACTTCTGAGAGTTTTTTTCGACTTCCCAATTCAGCAGGCAGCCTTGGGATTTCTTGGGATGTTCCCATTCCCTTCTTAGATTTTTAAGGTCAATTAATATTGATTGGTAGCTTAAGCCCATTAAGTTACTAAACGTGAATTAATAAACACAAATGTGTAATACATTCAAAAGAAACTCTTCCTCAACATTTTCTCAACTAATATCCAAGTATTCAATGCTATCATGTACAATGACAAGATTACTTATTGTAAAGTGTTACATAGCTTTCTACAGTAAAATTAAGCCAAGGCAGTTTACAAAATCACAGAATTATTTGGAAATATTTACAAGTTAAAAAGCCGCCATCCTCATTTCTACTTCATGCTTCATATCAGTAAGTCAATCAAGTGAATCCTGGGATTATACTCTGGAGAAAAAAATTAAATACAATATTCAGATGTCTCATATTGACATCCTTACTAGTTCTAGGCTACTTCCACTAACAGTATTTGATGTTGGTAGACACATCTGGAAAATATTAAGCTGAAGATGCAACTCTTTAGTCTGTAACCCACAAAAACTCCCACTAGTAAATTTTAGGGATAAACTGGGCCTCTCGGAATAGTATTACTTTGTACTTATTCAGTAGATGAAGTATTATCATAAAACCAAATTTCATTGCAGTTAATTCAACTTCAGTGTTGTTTTTTTTAAGGCAGACATTATTCCTATTTTGGACATTTGGTCAGCTACTAGCAGTTGTAGAAGAATCAACTAGTAATTTAAATGGATTAAATCCATTTTTATAATAAGATGAAAGTATTTGATGACACTGATGATATAATGTTTTTCATACTGTTCTAAATTATCATCTATTCAGAAAAAATTGGGGAAGTTATGACAACAAGGGAACGGTAGTCACAAGTCATACACTACCTCTTTCACAGCTTGAGCCAGACTTTATTATCTACCTTTATTTTATTTTTTTTTCTTCAAATTATGTCACTCTTCAAAATCCTTCAAGTAAACAATTTCTGGTTTTTGTCTCTAAATCTTATGCAAGGATTTTCCCGAGCCATGCCCCAGCACACTTCCTGTTTTCATGTCCCTACTTTCACTCAGAATTTCTTGTGTGCTCTATGCATATGAATACTCTTTCTCTATTTTCTCATTGTCTAGATACTCCCTTTACTAATTACACAGCATTTCTCTTCTTCATACATCTTTATGAGAATACTACGATATACTGTCACCCCCAAACTGAAAATTTTGGTCCATGGGAATTGTGTTGATATGGCATAAAGTAAAACTAAATGGGAGAAAGCCTTGATATGTCGTACAACCAGGATTGTTTATGCACTCATAATTTGTGCATAAGTTGGAGGTTCAACATAAACAAATAATTAAAAAGTGTAAAATATTATAGAGTATTTAAATATTAAAGCAGTATAACTAATCAGAAGAACAATGTAGCAATGGAAGAGAATTAAAATATGTGGTGTTTCTTGCTTTAAAATTAAACACTAGAATTTAATTTCTTTTTCTCATACAATTTGATCCTAATTTATATTACAGATGTCAAATCTTTTAATATATTGCAGCTACAGTTGCCATCATCTCTGATTAATAAATTGGACTTGATAGGGACTGGAGTCCAACAACATCTGCAGCTTTATTTATATTATAACTTACCACTAAAACACGTTGTGAACTATGGAATTTTTTTACACCTTAATTTAAATGCAATTAATGCAAATTATTTGCTTATTTTTCAAGCACCAAATTCACTCTTAACAGTCTGAAAGAAAATTTTTTAAAAATTAGCACTTGGGGGCCTTATGATCTTAAATTTATGGTCCAATAGAGACAAAGATCTTTTAGATGGAGAAATTTGATATTATTTTACTATATTTTCACTGCATTATTTAGCTCAATATTGTCTGCTCAACAAGAACATGAGGATGCTATATATTTTAAAATTATATTAGTCTTGAATGTTTCAGCAGGATAAATGATTTGTTGAAACTTGTAGAGATTTTTAAACAATGTATTTTGAATTATTTAGAATCTCAGAATGCTGTGCTTACCAGGACAGGTCCACAGTTACTGTGCAGGTATATATTGGAAACACCAATGCTGAACATGGCAGTCTACTCATTCTGCAAAATATTCTCAGCTTGTTGGAAGTTAATCTAAGAGGGAGAAATATCCAAAGGTTGTTCTGCTTCAGAATTTAGAATCACAAGTGACTATTTCTCCATGTCATGTCTCACTGCTATGTTTCCTAAATTGCTCCATCCAATGCTTCCATACACATATTTAGTTCTCCAGATCTAAGAAAACATCTGATTAAATACAAAGATCTATATAACTATACAGAAAGACTTTCAGAGAAAAGTAATCTGCAGACAAAAAGACATCAACGCAAATTTCAATATACATGCAAAATTCTTCTCTTAGAAAACATGGGTCCGTCCAATGCAGTGATGGGATTCAGCCAGTTCACACCACTTCGGCAGAACCAGTAGCTAATTTTTTGTTGCCCAGGCCCAGAATGGACTTCCGGAAGTGGCATCCACAGAGAGAACCGGTTGTTCACATATCTGAATCCCACCACTGGTCCAATGAATGTCCAGGTGCATGATGTTGGATACCTGGTTGTCAATGGTTCTTCCAAAAGGGTTCTTGAAATAGTCATTATTTACAAATAGACTAAAAACCACCTTCTATGATAAATTTGAAAAAAAAAGGCAATATTAAATTTAAGCCGTATGAATGTAACAATTGGGGGGGGAGTTAATAAAGCAAGGCAGCTGTATTATGCATGTACGTGGAGAGTCAGCTGAGAGCAGATTTCAAAGCAGCTGCATGATCCTGGGAAAAATATGAGGCTCACTAAACAACTCCAAAAGTGATACTTCATGTATGTTCCCATTTACTCTACAACACTTTCTTCCAAGTAAGGAACGGTTGCTGGAATTGGGTATGTCTAGTTTAATGAAGAGAAGGACGAGGGGGGACATGATAGAAGTGTTCCAATATCTCAGGGGCTGCCACAAAGAAGAGGGAGTCAAGCTATTCTCCAAAGCGCCTGAAGGCAGGACAAGAAGCAACAGGTGGAAACTAAGCAAGGAGACAAGCAACCTAGAACTGAGAAGAAATTTCCTGACAGTTACAACAATTAACCAGTGGAACAACCTGCCTCCAGAAGCGGTGAATGTTCCAACACTGGAAGTTTTTAAGAAGAGACTGGACAGCCATTTGTCTGAAATGGTATAAAGCAGGCATGTCAAACTCGCGACGTCATGTGATATCTCGCAACGTATCAGGCCAGTTTTGCTATTGCCAGCAATGGGGTGGGCATGGCTTCCATGTGACGCATCCAGCTCATAGGCCGGCAGTTTAACACCCCTGGTATAGGGTTTCCTGCCTGCAGGGGGTTGGACTAGATGACCTCCAATTCAATTATTATTATTGTTGTTGTTGCTGCTGTTATTATTGTTATTTATCTGCACTGTGCTAATAGTTCTGTGACTCTGTGTTAATCAGATTCCATTTCTAGTATTATGTTCACTTCTGGATATCACAGACTTCAGTCACATTGACACAAGCTCAGAACAGAGCAATGAAGATGATTCGTGAAAATAGATAAAGTCTTACCAACAGAGTTGGGCCATGATCTGTTCTATAACATCCCAGAGAGAAGACAGGGGATAATGGCTTAAAGTTATGGGATGACAGTCTGGTTGAATGTTGGTGGGGGGGGGGACTTAAAAGGGGGAAAAAAACACTAGAAAAATGTATCCAGTGAGGTGGTGATCTTCCACTGACAAGGGTTTATTTGAGAGTAAGGATTTATAGTAAACAGCTTTAATAACTCTCTCTAATATGTTAGGAATTTAATATACTACAAAGGGAAACTTATTTCTTCAACAGGACTCTTTGCTTCTCTACTCTTTTTTCTTTCAATTCCTTGCAGGGTCTCAGAGTTTTGCTCCCGAGAGTTGGGGTATCTTTCAGAGCAGTTGTGAGGAGATGTAGAACTCTGCAGAGAAACCACTACGCTCTTGTTTCCACGTATGAGGAAAGCCTCATCAAGTTGAAAAAGTTTGTGAAATAACTGAATAGAAATTTGAAGAAGTAGTCCAATGTTTAAGTCTAGTGATAATTTTAAAAATAAAGAATACTGTGTCAGTGAATAAAGAAAAACCGTATTTTGTGTGTGTGTGTGTGTATGTGTGTGTATCCTTCATTATTCAGGAACAGAACAAGAAATAATTCAAGGTGGCAAACATATCTAATGTTCCCTTTTCCAAGCCACACTCAAAAAGAAAACTATTAGTTAAGGAATTAGTTATGATGCATTAGTACTGAGCTTGATATCAGCTACGATACACCAACAACTGGACTAATTTTAAAATAATAAGCATTTAGATCACAGACATATTCAACCAACTTTCAACAATAGGGAGCAAAAACAGTCCATATACCAGTGGTCCTTACAACAGTTTACTGACTGTTCGAAGTTGCAATGCTGCTGACTTATGACCATTTTTCACATTATGACATTGCAGCATCCCCATGGTCACATGAGCAAACTCCAGACACTTGGGAACTCATATTTATATTTATCACGGTTACGGTGTCCCTGGATCATGTGACCTTTTGCGACTTTCTGACAAGCCAAGTCAATGGGCAAGCCAGGTTAACAACCACGTTATTAACAACTGCAGTGATTCTCTTAATAACTGTAGCAAGAAAGGTCATAAAATGGGGCAAAACTTAAATGTCTCACTTAGCAACATAAATTTTGGGCTCCATTATGGTCAAGGACTACCTGTATTAATACTGTAATGTGACTCGAACTTCTATGAATTCTGACGTTATTCGTATTTTTTAGTTTTAGCCAACAAACATCTTCTTACCTGCCTCTCAGGGACATGAACATGGGTCTTTTGCAATGCAGGAATAAATGCTACATGTCCTTATTTTTTATAACTGAAACCTAAGCTAGAATCTGTTTTTTACATATAGGTATTAGCTGCAAAAACAGCTGTTCCCACATTATGCAGCATTTGTCCTCATATGTACTAAACCATATGCACAATATTAATTTTCAAAAATGTTTTATGGAATACATAGGACAGTGACACTAGGGGTCTGGCAACTATAGCTTTATAATTCATTCGTAATTGTATAGCTATTCAAGATTCCTTGCCAATAAAGGAACTAAAGAAAATAGTGTTGACTATAAATCAGGGCACAAAAAAAAAAGACCATGTTCAGATGAACCTACAAAAAATATTGAGCAGCTTAACTATTAAAGACTGAGCTGGAAATGTGGATGCTTGAGGACCGCAACTAATTTACCTATTTGAGCTCCATCCTTAGTATACAGAACACATTACTGTATTTATTCTACAGTATCACCTACAGTTTAACCAACTGTATCAGAACTGAAAAATACGATTAATTTCCTAAAAAAATTTCGCATCCAAACTTAGAGTAGTATTGGTTAATCTGTTGGGTATTTTACTTTGCTTTCTCATGTCTAATTTAAAATATTACAGATACTGCATGTTTCGTGGCAATTACGAAAGGCATTTATAAAATGAAACTGTAATGTTTAAATTGTAAACATTCCTCCATCTTAATCTTTTAGGGAAAAACCCAAAACACAATTAAAAGGCTATTATAAAAGCCCTGGATTTTGAGTACTGGACCATGTAGCTTGGCTGTCGACAATTTGTCCATTTTGTCTGGCAAGATTGCTACTAATTTTCTCAAGGAATAAAAATCACAAATTATTATTGAGTAACAATCACAATTATTTTAAAGTTCTTCTTTTTTAAAAACAACAACAACCCCAAATATGATCAAAGAAAGCACTGAAAAATACATTGCTTTTTGTACGCTAAATTCTACTACAGAGAAAAATGTACCAGGCTAAAAGCAAGAAGTGTAGGTCCTTGCTTTACTATTACTTTTGCAGATATGAATTCCTTCAAAATCAGCAATATAAAATGAATTTGAGATTTAAAAAAAAAACCCATGCAAAAGCCTGGGTTATTCAGAAATGCTGCAGTAAGCTATGACTGAAAGCCAAGTTCTTATTAGCACCGCAAGAATTCTATATGCTGGGCATAGCAAATGATCAGATACAATGCCACCAGCCATAATGTACACCTATTCTTTGCCCTCCACGGGACTGACTGGTTGCTGGATGGGAAAGGCTCTGTATCTATTAGTCTGGCTTTGGATTTTTCACATTCAAGGACCATCATGTGACAGGCATACTGGTTGCTTGGCCACTCCCAGAAAAGGCAAACAAAACAGCTCCAGAATAAATTCCAGCAGGGATTTCAAAGGCAGACATTGCATCAGCCAGGTGTACAGGAAGCAGCTGGGATTTGAAGTCCAAAGAGCATCTGACCCACTTGAGAGTCTCTCAGAGTGGGATCTCTCTCCGAAATCCTGTGGGGAAGGAGGAGCAGGAAGGAGGAGGAGGACTTGCTCCAGCGACAGAACAGGCCGCATCTGCTTCACGGAGCCTTTGTACAGCGCTCCGGACCTGGCTGCTCTCCCGGGGATGATGCAATCCCCAGGAACAAGGTCTGCGCCAGAGAGAAGAAGAATTCACAGCCGATGCGGAGGGCAAGTCAGCCAAGAATCTCTGATGACAACATGCTTCAGCCAATCAAAGAGCAGCACCCTCCCTTCCCCACATTACCCCACCCCAACATTTGGTAGAGAACGGAATCCCACATTTCATGTCATCAAGCTGTGACTGAGGGAAGACCGGAGAGGGAGGGGAAGCAGAAAAATTTATCCTGTCTTAAAACCCGTTTTGCACCTCCTGAAGAAAAGGAATACTGTGGGAAACATGCAATTTGGGGTGGGAAATACCCAATCGCTGGTTCTCTTTAATCACTTCCCTGCTGGTGCAAAATCTCCCTAAACACGTACACAGTAGTGCTGCTATGACTGGCTGCCTTGCCCCCAGTCTCGGAAATCATGCAGAGACACAGGCACCGGGAACCATAGCAACACGACACAGTGCCGCAATTATGGAGCAGCAGCAACTACTCCATATGTAAAGTTCCCCCCCTGCTTCCATTATAAGGCTGATTTTAACCCTCACTCGTTGTAAAAAGTTAGCTGTGAACATTCCTTTAGCTTGATCAGACTGATG